TGAGGGAGAGGGGTTGTAAAAGATGCAGAGATCACAGAAATGTGGGGGACAGGGACAGGGGGGCAGTGGGATAAAGGGTGAAAGACTGGGAACAGAAAGGATGGAGAACAGGAAAGATACGGGACAGAGGAACTCAAGGGATGGGGACAGGAGGGGCACAAAGGACAGGTTCCTGGGGCTTCACAGGAATGCAAAGGTTTGATCCCCCTGCAGCAGCTCCTGGAGCCCAGGGCCATTGGGCATCCCTTCATCCTGTGGTGCTTGAGCTTGCTTTGTCCTCAGAGGGCAAAATAATGTGGGCTGAGGGGGAATTAGGGTTGTGGAGCAGCTGTCTCACAGCCCCACGGTCTCCCCGCAGCTCCTGATCGCTCGCCGGAGGAGAACCAGCTGCTACTTCTATCCCCGCGCCTGGCCCAGCCTGCGGGGCGCAGACTGGTGGGAACGGGTGGTCCTGAAGGAATTCGGCCCCCAGGACTGGCTGGAGAAGTTCCGCATGTCCCGGGAGACCTTCTTCTACATCTGCAACCGCCTGCGGCCGGGGCTGGCCCTGCACAGCTCCCACTTCCACCCCACGCTGCCCCTGGAGAAGCGGGTGGCTGTGGCCCTGTGGCACTTGGCCACCAATGTGGAGTACCAGACTCTCAGCCCGCTCTTCGGCGTCGGGCCTTCCACCGTGCAGACGTGCGTGCGGGAGGTGAGCTACGCCGTGGTCCTGCTGCTGAAACCCCTCTACCTCCGTCTGCCCGATGAGAAGGAGCTGGAGAACATGGTGCGCATCTTCCGCACCCGCTGGGGCTTCCCGCACTGCATCGGAGCCCTGGACAGCCTGCACATCCCCATCAACCCCCCGCTGCGCCTGAGCGCCGATTACTGCAACGGGCAGGGCTGGCACTCCATCCTCACCCAGGCCACCGTGGATGGGCTGGGCCAGTTCTGGGACGTCTCCACCGCTTTTCCCGGCAGCATGGAGAACAGCGCGGTGCTGGAGAGCTCCAGCCTCTGGGTGCTGGCCAAGGAGGGCCGGCTGTGCCCCAACCCGCCCAAGGACTTCATGGGCAAGGCACAGAAGTACGTGCTGCTGGGTGACGCCACTTACCCCTTGCAGGACTGGATCCTCAAGCCCTACCAGGAGGATGAGAGCCTCACCCAGCGCCAGCTGCAGTTCAATTATCGCCTCAAGCGGGCGCACAGCGTGATCGAGAACGCCTTCCTGCGCCTGAAGGCCCGCTGGCAGATCCTCCTCAAGTGTGATGACTGCAGCCTGGAGCTGCTGCCCACCCTCGTCCTGGCCTGCTGCATTCTGCACAACGTCTGCGAGGCGCACGACAACCCATTCAACGAGGAGTGGCTGGAGGGCACCGAGCCCACCGAGCTGCCCAAGCCTTGCCAGCCTGCACCCGCTGCCATGGAGGACGGCCGGGCTGAGCAAGTGCGTGAACTGATGTGCCAGTACTTTGAGAACTGTGGGGAGGGCTGACGGCTGCAGGGGGAACACGCCGTGCTCCTCCTTGGGCCCTGTGGGTCGGTGTCAGCCCTTCGGTTCATGTGGGTTTTTGCCTCTCGGCTTCAGGCAGAGGAATGTATCTCACACCTGGGCTCTCTCTGCTGGGATTTGACCAATGTAGTGATGTGCTCTGTACTGTGTGAATAAAGCAGGGTCGTGGTTTGGCCGGGGAGAGGGTTGTCAGGTCATCCCGTCGCAAGGGTATGGCTGCAGCCCTGGTGTTGGCAGGACTCAGAAGGGCTGGAAGTGAGGAGGCAGAGCGCCAAAGCACAACACCCGTTGCGCAAACGCGTGCAGACATGGGAGGGGAGGAGGAAGCAGAGCAGTGACTTGCTGTGGGCTGGCACCAGCTGGAAATGGAACTGCACCTGCAAACCCAGCTCTGCAGGACTAAAATGTTGTGCTGGGGGTCTGAGCCCTATCCCACTGTGCCGCCGTGCAGGGGAGCACGCAGCTCTGCTGCTATCGGCTGAGAAATCAGGCAGTGGTGGCTGAGCCCCGTGGCACACTGCTTCACTGTGCCAAGGCAGGGCTGGGCACAGACACCTTCCTCAGCACTTTGTTCCAGGCGGTAGGCGGGGGAGCAGCTCAGGCATGCCTGGCTGCGCCAGCCTTCCCACGGGGATGGATCCGGACTCGGGGGGCAGTGGGGTGGCTGCCACATCCCCGAGTTGGCTGCAGCCCCAAATCTTCTCCCTCCTGGCACCCGCCATGCTGAGATCTGCTCGCCGGCTGTCAGCACTGGATGGGGTCTGTTTGCAGCCTGTCCCGTTTTCACACATCGGTGCATTTCGCAGCCAAAATGTGATGGTGCGTAGCCAGGAGGTGGGACCTTCAAGCTGGGAGCGTGGGAGAAGAGCTGCAAAGCTCCCTGCGAGGGGCTCAGCACCGCCAGCCTCAGGCCATCTCACACCAGTGATGGAAGATCAGCATGCCTACGAGAGGGGTGGGTGGGAAAGCACAACCAAGAGCACTTTCACATCTGTTAGCAGCAGCAGGTTGGGAAACACCCACATGTGCGGAGCGCAGAGCAGGAATGCACGTACTGCTGGGTGCCTGTGGGGCTGAGGGTGGGCTCAGAAATGCCCTTGGCTGAGCGCACAGTCCAGGCAGGGGAGGGAAAACGGTGACTTCTGATTCTGTGTTTGGGCTGCGGGGCACAACTGGGGTGAGGGAACCGCCGAGGAGGGCAGTGGGAGGCTATGGGGATGTCATAGGGAATCATGGCAAGAGGGGGCGTGGGGCAGCCTAGAAGCCATGGGGAGCCTCACGGGGCAGCCCTGGGGATCCACAGCATCTATGGGAGGGCGCGGGGCACCCAGAGCCAGCGGAGCAGCGCTGCAGAGCACCGGGCCTCCCACCGCCCCGCGCCTGCCCCAATGCCACTGCGCATGCGCAGCTCTGGCCTCGTTCCCCCTCCGCTCCCACTTCCGCTGGCGGCCGTCCCATCTCTCTCAACCGGAAGAGCGGTTGAAGGAGCTTCCGGGGTGGTCACGTGGGGACCATCATGGCTGCGCGTGGTGAGTACGAGTCCGGGCGGTTCCGGGTCCGGCGCGGTTTAACGCCCGGCTCGTTACGGGCCGCTTCGCCCCGGTTCCGGCCCGGTTAAGGTCCCGGTCCCTCTCGGGGATCTCACCCGGCCGGCTCCGCTTCCACTCCCACCCCCGCCCCGTGGGTCCGAGCCCCACGGTCACGCGGCCGGGCCTACTGTCCCGGCCCATCGCCGCGCGGGCCTCACTCGGATGCCTCGGATCCTTTCTTTACACAGGAACGTGAGCAGAGAGCCGTGACCCCGAGCTCCCGACATGGTGACCGAGGAGGAGGTGGCCGCCATCGGCCGCACGCTGCTGGATGCTGCCCAGCCGCTTCCCGCCCGCTTCCGCGCCCTCTTCACCCTCCGCAACCTGGGCGGCCCCGCGGCCATCGACTGCATCGTGCGGGGCTTTGCGGACAGCTCGGCGCTGCTGAAACACGAGCTGGCTTTCTGCCTGGGCCAGATGCGTGACCGTGCCGCCATCCCCGCGCTGCTCGGCGTGCTGCAGGACAGCCGGCAGGAGCCCATGGTCCGGCATGAGGCAGGTATGGCCCTGCAGGACACCACGTGTTGGTGCGCCGTGCACCGAGAGCAGGTTGCCACATCCCCTGGCCCAACCGGTTGGCCAGGCCTCGTCTCCCCACTGGCCGTTGCCATGGCGGTGGTTTTTGGGGAGGAGGACATGGCAGTGTGCCCGAGTGGACAAGAAGGCCGATGGCATCTTGGTTGTGTCAGCAATAATGCGGCCAGAGGGAGCAGGAGGCGATCATCCCGCTGTACTCAGCTCTGTGAGGCTCAGTGCTGTGCTCAGCGTTGTGTTCCTCACTACAAGAAAGACATTGAGGCACTGGAGTGTGTCCAGAGAAGGGCAATGGGGCCGTGAGGGGTCTGGTGCTGAGGGAATGGGGTGGGTCAGTGTGGAGAAGGGGAGGCTCAAGGGGCCTCGTGGCTCTCTCCAACTCTGTGAAAGGAGGTTGTGGTGAGGGAGGCTCGGCCTCTGCTCCTGGTAATCCTATCCCAGTGGTAGGATGAGAGGCCTTGACCAGGGGATGTGGTGAGTGGACATGGTGGGGGTGGGATGTCAGGTGGAGTTCATGACCTCAGAGGTCTTTTCCAACCTTGTGATTTTGCCTAGGGAGGCTGTGGATGCCCCATCCCTGCAGGCATTCAAGGCCAGGCTGGATGTGGCTCTGGGCAGCCTGGGCTGCTGGTTGGGACCCTGCACACAGCAGGGGGTTGGAACTGATGATCATTGTGGTTCTTTTCAAGCCAGGCCATTCTATGATTCTATGATTTTGGGGTGTTGGGGCACAGCTGCATCCCTGAGGCTCTCCTGGGTTTCTCACACTGGTCAATGTGAGGGAGGGCGGACAGCCTGAAACACCCCCACCTGCTGACATCTCCTTTCCTCAGGTGAGGCCCTGGGTGCCATTGGGGATCCCGAGGTGCTGGACATCCTGAAGCACTACTCGGAGGATCCCGTGGTGGAGGTGAGGCTGTGAGGGTGGCAGTGCCATGGGGTCAGCACTGTTGGCATGGGAGGGTGACGCTGGGGACTGCAGGGTGACACAAGGGACTGGAGCCGCCGTTGCTGTCACAGCCACGCAGCCCTGCTGCTCAGAGGAGCTCTGTGCTTGCTCCCAGCCCTGTGCAGTGCCTCCACACCGTGTCCCTGTCCCCACAGGTGGCAGAGACGTGTCAGCTGGCCGTCAGGAGGCTGGAGTGGCTGCAGGAGCACGGGGAGGAGCCGGGCAGCAGCCCCTACCACTCAGTGGATCCTGCTCCCCCCGCCGAGGAGACAGATGTGGCTGCACTGCGCGCAGCACTCCTGGACGAGTCGCGCCCGCTGTTCGACCGCTACCGGGCCATGTTTGCCCTGCGGAACCTGGGGGGCCGTGATGCTGTGCTGGCACTGGCTGATGGTAAGGGCTGGCCTGGGGCTGTCTGCTCGCTGTGGGTCTGCACGTGTTAATAATCCACAATTGGATTTCCCAAATCCAGAGCTGCGTGGCTGCTTGCACTGCTGCTTCTAGAGCTGCCTGTTGCTCTGCTCGCGGAGCGCCCGGTGCTCTCTGCTGTCTCACAGCCCCCCTCTCCTCACTGTCTCTGGGGTTTGCCAGGTTGTGCTGGTGTTTCCTGGGACTGGGGAACTGCTTCCCCATCCTGGAGGGGTTGAGGACATCCAGCCTCACTCTGAGCTTTGGGAGTCATTCTGGAGGAGGGCGTGCATGTGCCCTGGAAGGGAAAGGGGCAGAGCAGAGTCCATGTCCACCCTGCTGGTTACCTTCTGCAGCCCCAGGGACGCCGACGGTGCACTCCAGCATCAGTGTGAGCCAAGGGTTTGGAAACCCTGTGCCGTGGCTTCCCTGTCCCACAGCAGCACAGGAGGGCTGTGAGGCAGTTAGCAGTGGGGCACATGGGGGCACGAGGTGGACTCACTCTTACCTCCTCCCTCAGGGCTCCGCGCTGGCAGCGCTCTCTTCCGCCACGAGATCGGCTACGTGCTGGGCCAGATGCAGGACGAAGCCTGCGTCCCACAGCTGACCGCCGCGCTGTGCAGCCGTGCTGAGAACCCCATGGTGAGGCACGAGTGCGCCGAGGCGCTGGGCTCCATCGCACGGCCCTCCTGCCTGGAGACCCTGCGTGCCTTCGCCCAGGACGAGGAGCGGGTGGTGCGGGAGAGCTGCGAGGTGGCTCTGGACATGTACGAGTACGAGAACGGCCCCCAGTTCCAGTATGCGGATGGGCTCTGCAGGCTGCAGGCCTGAGCCCAGCTGGGCCTCCTGCCCTCCTTCCCCCGGGTGCGCTTTCCCTGCTCGCCTCCATCGGCGCGGATCCGTGGCGGAGGCGGAACTGGGTTTGCTCCCTGGCACAATTACAGCTGCCTTCTGCATCCAAACCCAGGCTGAGCTGCTACTTGCTCCCCGTTTCCTGGATCCGCGCCGTTCCCCGCCCGCAGCCTGGCTCAGGGCTTGGAGTGGGTGGCTGGTGCTGCGTGTCGGAGCCCATCGCCGCACCTCGGAGCGAGCTTCCCCCACCTGAACTCTGCTGGAGGGGTCGGGGGGGCTGCAGGCAGCGGCTCCGGTGGGTTGGAGCTGTGCGATGCCTCGAAATCGCCCACGGTGCTGGTGCAGAGCTGGCTTCCTCTTCATCTCTGCAGCTGCTGGAGGATCTCTGTGGGTTTGGCCTCTCCTGTCGGGGCAGGCTGGCTCTGTCTCGCGGCAGCCTTTGCCCTGGGATGGGGTTGGTTTCGTGGCACGGCTCGGGAGATTTGGCTGTGGTTTTTCTTTCTGCGGGGAATGGCGCTGTGATGAAGGCTCGCAGGGTGAGGCAGAGCCTGCCTGGACTTCCCCTGTGTTTAACCAGAGCTGGATGGCTGCCTCTGCCAGCTGCTGCCAGCTCCAGCACCCAGATCCGTGGGGCACATGTGGGGCTGGGA